GGTGAAAATATGGCATTACAAAAGCATCTCCCCATAGATCACAATTGAACCTTCCAGAATCCTGGGCAACGCATCCCTTCAAGTTGGCAGGATCACGGACAGATTGGTAGCGACTCAGGCACAGAATAAATATAGCCCGTGACTGAAGGTACTTACTGATACGTGTGACTTCACCTTCTCCTATTAGGTAACAAGACAAATGCATGCTCTCTGCTGTATGGGAATCTGGGCCAGGCCTTGTGTAAGCCATATGTATGTGATGCATAAGATCTTACACACACAGCAAGATCAGCTTAGAGACATGAAAGTACTGTGGGGTAATTAATACTGTGTTGTACACAGCAGCACTACTTCAGATACCATCTTTTATAAGTAAAAATAATACAAAGCACCAATGCAGCTAGTAAATGATGTACTATATGCAATTTCTAAGAATTAAACAGGCCTTGTGTCTTTCTTAAAGGCTATGTTCAAAATAGCATACTACTGTTCTGTTTCTGCAGTACGCATTCTTTGTAGAGAAAACAAACTGTATGTATGTATGGTATACTTGGTAAAGGTTCCAAATGGGGCTTTCGCAGTGATGACATAGAAGAACCATTTTTGGTTCCCCAAAGAACCTTTCAGTGAAAAGATCCTTTGTGGAATGGAAATATTCCATGGATGTTAAAGGTTCTTCATAGAACCAAAGATGTCAATAAAGAACAATTTTTTTTTTTGTATAGCCACATGATCTGCTGCATATGCTAAAAGGTGTATATACAGACACTAGACACTGAGCTAGATACTATATCCCACAATGCATTGCACTTAAAGGGTTAGTTCACCCAAAAATAAAAATTAGCCTGTGTTTTGGACTTGAGCCCTGTGACTCGGAAAGACTTTATGATCAGATCAAAGTCGTTATAGACGAGTCCTTGCAGCGTGCTTGCGCTTGACTGGCAATAAGCCAGAGACTGCGTTCAGGGAGCGCTGGATAGGCTAGTATAAATTAATGGAGTAATAGCACAACTTACAACAAAAGAACCGAGATAAAAAAAAACTAATTACATGATTCGTCTAGTATCGATCTCCGCTCTTGAAAAGCGCTGCCCTGCCCGTTTGATCGCCGCCCAGCAGACACACGGAGCGGGCATGAGAAAC